CGGGGCCCGGCTCGTCCCGGGCCCGCCCTGCAGGCCTCCCGGGCTCGGGCGGCGTAGGGGCGTCCGCCGCGGGCTCGGTGGGGCGGGACCGGCGCGAGAGCCGGGCCGTAACCCGGCCGGCGGGGCGGGCGCCCCCGTCGCCCCGCGGGTCGCATTATGTAACAGATGCGCTGGTTGGTTTTGCCGGGACCGGAGGCCAGTCGTAGGGCCGACTCCAAAGGTTTCCTACGGGACCCGGGAGTCGGGAGGCACCGGGCGGCGGGCGGCCGGCCGCGCAGGGAGGCGTCCCTCCCGCTTCCGGGCAGTGTTGGCAGTCAACACGTTGAGATGGACTTGTGCCCCGGCTGTCCTGGGCCTTTTTTTTTTTTTTAAGAAGTAGCTTTATCGAGGTGCACTTCACAGAAAGTGCAGCTCCGGGTGGCGCCCAGGGAGTTCTGGCGAGCGTCTACACGCCCAGGAAACCGCCACCCCGCCGCCGACGTCCCGTCACCCCACACGCTTCACCCGGCCCGGTCATCACGGGAAGCGGCGTTTACGGCGTTAGGGTGTATTTACTTACGTGGCCTGGCATCTGCTCTGCCAGGCACTGCGCTGAGCAGCTTGTGTTCACCCGGGCTGCGCGCAGCCGTGGGGTGTGGACCGGCCCCGCTCGCTCAGCAGTGCAGGGGGCGAGGCTCGGGGCGTTAGGCGACCTCTCCGGGGCAGGCAGGAAGTGAGCTGCGTCCGCAGCCAGAGCCGAGCCTCACCGGCGGCAACTCTCTTCTGTCTGTACTAGCAGAATTATTCCTGGGGGTGCTTCTCACTGTCCTCGCTGATCCCCTCCCGCGGAAATGCTTGTCCCTGTACAGCAGAGCCCAGGCTGGCCACGTATGGAGCCTGTGGGCGTAGGAGTGATGAGCTGGGGGGTCACGCTGTGCCGGGCAGTGCTGCTAATGCCCTCTTGACCTGTCACAAGTACACGTTCAAATTGCAGAGCTGCTGTGACCGTTAAGTGTGAGGCCGTTCTCGTAGCAGGTGGTCAGTTAGAGCTGTAGTGCCCGTTGGGACAGTGGGTTTTGAAGGGCTGGGTGTAGTTACAGCTACTTGGTACTTTGCTGTAGAGGAGAAAATTTCACATTCCCCGTTAGAGTGAATAACCACCTGTCGCTTCTGCCCCCCCCTTCAGTAAGGACACGTGAAGCTGTCCTGGGTGCATTAGGGTCTCCCGCGTGCAGGCAGTGGTGCTGACACCTGGGGGACATACCCAGCTCCCCTCAGGAGGGATTGTAAGTCACTGTCAGCTGGCTGGTGGCTTCGCTGACCGCTCCCCAGGAGCTCAGAACTGGGATTTGGCTTACCCTGGGTTTGCCGTGATCCTCTTGGCAAAGAATTCATCACATTTTAAACCGTTTCCATTTGACACAGGAAAGCTGCAGTCTGACGAGTCAATCTTAAACAGTGCATCAGGGTCCACTGGGGTTTCCTTTCGGGACTTAGAGTGAAGCCTGCAGGCTCTGTCACAGACTGGCCAGGTGGGCGAGGGGCTGTCATTCAGGCTCCCCACCCCCCAGGTGGCCCACATGAAACAGCGGGCCCTGGGTTCCAGCTCAGCATGTTTGTTTGTAAGCCAGTCTCTGAAAAATCACTTTGCTTCCTGTTAGTAAAATGTTTGGTGGGAGGAGTCTGAGAGGTCTGTGACAGGTCCTTGTCGTTAGCGCCTAAGGTGACACCCTGTTTGGTGATGGTGGTCCACAGTCGGGGCTTCACTTGAAAATAGTGACAGTCCGACAGCGGAGATCTGAAAAGAGCAAATTGTAAATCTCTGGCCAAGGTTTCAGGCACCTGAGCCCATGCTGGCAGAGCCATGGTAGTAGCTCTGCGGACAGTGCAGGGGTCCCGGGCTGGCTCTGCGAGCAGTGTGGTGCGGGGGTCTTGGCGTGGCTCTGAGGGCCCCCAGGGGTGGCTCTGAGGGCCCCCAGGGGTGGCCCTCGCCATGAAGCATGGCACGTTGCATGTATCCGGGTGTCCTTGAGGAGGAGGAGGGCCTGGCCTGGCCCTGTAGTTGAGCCAACAGCTGAGAAGTGCCCAAGGGGAAGGGGCAAGCCGACTGGCCGTCTTGAGGCCCTGCAGAAGCTGGGCTGGGGCCTCTGGGGGGTGAAGGCTATCTCCCAGACAAGTATGGGGTTCTTCTCTTGGGTCCTGCTGTGGAGGACTTTTTCACGGAGGGGAAGACAGGCCATGGTCAGAACACTGAGGCCTCTGGCCCCTCTGCATGGTGCTGCCAGGACCAGTGCCCTGGGCCCCAGGGGTGGCAGCAGTTGCGGGGAGAGGGCGTCCTGAGAGCATGGGTCGGGGTGGGGAGCCTCTGAGTACCTTTGCCTCACTGTCACAAGCTCCCTGCCTGCTGGAGCCTAGCCCTGGGCTCAGGCCTGGGACCTTGGTCTGGAGGGATGTTGCAGTCATCTTGGTGACCTGTTGTTCTAGGAAGGTGGCTGGCGTGCCGGGGGAATCGGTGTGCTGGGGGGCTTGTCACTGCACATGCCTCTCGACGGTCACTGCTTGTGGCCTGTCCTCCCCTCTGGTCCTGGGAGTCCCTGGTGGGGGCAGGATGGGTGGTTCTGGAGCCTCCGAGCCGGGTGAGCTGGGGGGGGATTGCACTTAGCGTGCGTGTGACCTCCCAGCCCAGTTAACATGCTCTCTGTGTCTGTCTTAGGGAGTCAGTACCAAATGAGGAGGAAAGGACGATGCCATCGAGGTGCTGCAGCGAGGCTCCCCTCCTCCCCGTGCAGTACTAAGCACTCCCCGACGCGCGAGACCTTGACGTACGCGCAGGCGCAGAGGATGGTGGAGATCGAGATCGAGGGGCGCCTGCACAGGATCAGCATCTTTGACCCCCTGGAGGTCATCCTGGAGGACGACCTCACTGCCCAGGAGATGAGCGAGTGCAACAGCAACAAGGAGAACAGCGAGCGGCCGCCCGTGTGCCTGAGGGCAAAACGCCATAAGAACAACCGTGTCAGGAAGAAGAGCGAGGCCGCCCCCAGTGCCCACGGTGCCCCTGCCTCAGCCAGTGCACTCCCTGAGCCCCGGGTGCGCGTGCTGGAGTATAGCCCCCCGGCCGCCCCCCGCCGACCCCCTGCCTACTACAAGTTCGTGGAGAAGTCGGCCGAGGAGCTGGACGGCGAGGTGGAGTACGACATGGACGAGGAGGACTACGCCTGGCTGGAGCTGGTCAACGAGAAGCGCAGGGCCGACTGCGTGCCGGCTGTGTCGCAGGCCGTGTTCGAGTTCCTGATGGACCGCTTCGAGAAGGAGTCGCACTGCGAGAACCAGAAGCAGGGGGAGCAGCAGTCCCTGATCGACGAGGACGCCGTGTGCTGCATCTGCATGGACGGCGAGTGCCAGAACAGCAACGCCATCCTCTTCTGCGACATGTGTAACCTGGCCGTGCACCAGGAGTGCTACGGGGTGCCCTATATCCCCGAGGGCCAGTGGCTCTGCCGCCACTGCCTGCAGTCCCGCGCCCGGCCTGCCGATTGTGTGCTGTGCCCCAACAAGGGCGGTGCCTTCAAAAAGACCGATGATGACCGCTGGGGCCACGTGGTATGCGCCCTGTGGATCCCGGAGGTGGGCTTCGCCAACACGGTGTTCATCGAGCCCATCGACGGCGTGCGGAACATCCCCCCCGCCCGCTGGAGACTGACGTGCTACCTCTGCAAGCAGAAGGGCGTGGGCGCCTGCATTCAGTGCCACAAGGCGAACTGCTACACGGCCTTCCATGTCACGTGCGCCCAGAAGGCCGGCCTCTACATGAAGATGGAGCCCGTGAAGGAACTGGCTGGCGGCACCACCACTTTCTCTGTCAGAAAGACCGCTTACTGTGATGTGCACACGCCCCCGGGCTGCACCCGGAGGCCTCTGAACATTTACGGGGATGTCGAAATGAAAAACGGTGTGTGTCGAAAAGAGAGCTCAGTCAAAACGGTCAGATCATCGTCCAAGGTCAGAAAGAAAGCAAAAAAGGCTAAGAAGACGCTGAGCGAGCCCTGTGCGGCCCTGCCACCTGTGTGCGCTCCGTATATTCCCCCTCAGAGGTAAGCACGTGCAGGCGTTGGGCCTAGCCTAGAATGGGGGTGCCAGGGAGGGGCCCAGCAGGGCTGTGTTACAGCATCCTCACGGCCCCCTAAAACACAGCCTCATTCATTCACCCCTTTGTGGGAGCATGGATGTCGCCGAGGACTCGAGTCTGTCAGACCTGGAAGGACATATGGTTTCCCTGGTGGCCACACCAGCGCACGGGGTAGGCCAGGCGCTGTCAGGGTGACCGCGGGTCTGGTGACCACAGGTGTGGCCGCCGCCTTTGACACAGTCACATGCTGTTCCTCACCCTGCGCTCTCACCGATGTTTGGGGACCTTGTAGGGCTCTTAACACAATTTGTTGGAAAGTGAAGCAGCTTGCTGAGGAAGAAGACACAGGTGGCGGTCAGAGCGGGGCCGGCAGGAGCTGCGTGCAGGGGCGCTGGCCGCCTTCCTGTCGTGTGACGGTCTTGCTGGTTTTTCTGACCGTTCCCTTCATGGTGCAGATGGTGACTGGTCAGGGTGGGGCTCTCTGATCTAGAGGGGAGGGGTCCCGGCTCCACTGCCCCTGCTGTGGGCAGGCCCGCCTTGCTCTTGCACATGTCCCAGGGCCAGTCCTCTCCCGCCGTGTCTGCTTCTGTGCCCCAGTGTTGTCCTCCTCTTGGCCTGTTCCTCTCAATGCGGACCTGCTGTTTTTACTCCATTATCTTTAAAAACGCCCTTGTTCAGCATGCGAGGTGAGTGACCGATGGGTTCCACACCAGGGCCTGGGAGTGCTGTGTGAGTCTGGCAGAGCAGACGCCCCACTCCAACACTTCCTTGAGCTTTGAGGAAGTAGCACTTAGGACAGGGTTTGGGGCTTTGAACAGTCTGATTAGGGAAGTAAAGCGTCAAGCTGATGAAGTCAAGATGCAAGTGACATCTGCTCGTGAGGCTTGTTGGTACCTCGACTATCTTGTTATTCGAAAGTGAGCCACGTGTAGGTAACATATTTATCTTACACATTGAGTTGATGACAGACTACCAGGATATTTTTGTTAAAAAATAAACATTGTCTTCAATGTATTGACTACTAGCTCTTTATACCATTGTATATCTGTCATGAAAAATAATTCATGCCACCGACATGTTGTGATTAAATGATGCAGTTTGGTTTCTGTCATGAATTTGGTTAAGCTCACTAGTTAGGTGGTGAGAGCATAGTTGAACCCACACTTAGAAGCCAGGTTTTGTCCCGAGTGGAGCCAGCCCTTTTTATGAAGAATCAGAAGTGTGTTTTTTTTTTTCCCCAAAATGAAATCTTTTTCTTACAAAGTAGTACATAGTCATTACAGAATCAGTAAATTCAAACAAAATGAATAAAAAGTGCTCATGCTCCCTCTCATCCAGACAAACCACTGTCAGAACCAAGGTGTCTCTTGCAAATCTGCCAACCTGACTTTCAAAAGACAGTTTTGCGTGCATTTCTACTTCTGAGTCAGAAAGTGTGGGATTTGTGTCAGGAGCTTCTGTTTAAAGGCCCTAAAAATTTCAGCTTTTCTGAAATTGAAGCAGAACAAAATATGTGCTGTAACATATTAACCAGAAGTCTAGAGAGCTCCCTTTGTGTCCAGCCTGCGTTTCCGCACCTGGCCTAGGAGGGTGCAGGGTGGGCTGTCCTGGGGGGTTGCAGGCCGTTGGCAGGTCGGAAAAGGTGGGCGCTGGAGGGTCTGAGATGCGCAGACCTGAGTGAGAAGAAGGCTCATGCTTGGGACCTAAGTATCTCAAAGCAGGCAATACAGCTAGACCTTGTTCTAAAGGTGTAGTATCCGTCGTCCGTTTTTTTTCTTTTCCTGATTGAGGAATAAACTGTTACTTTGGTTTGGAGTAGAGGTAAAAGATGTACCTGGACAAGATGTACCGGGACAAGCTTTGCCGCCTCGGTTGCCTGAAGTCTTGGGGCGACCCTGAAGTTTCTGATCACTGTATCCCCTGAGGAAGATCTCCCAGCTGCCCTTTGCTAGTCAGTATCAGTAACTGGTGTTGGATAACCCATGGGTTCTTAGGGCAGGTTCTGGGGCGGGGAGTGGGTGGGAGGTGTGGCTGGTCTGGTGGCCCCATTCTTAGGAGCCAGGTGTTAACCTTGGGTGTGTGCAGGGGGCCCTGGTGGAGTGTAGACTGGGGGAAGGTGGGGCAGGCGTGCTGTGCGCAGGGGAAGCTGTGCTGTCTCCATGGCCGGGGATGCCGGACCACGTCTGTTCTGAGGCAAAGCTCGGCAAGCCCCCAGGCAGGAGGGACCTGGGACAGAAGAGGAGGGTTCTGTCTCCCTTATTCCCTGCAGAGAGGACGCTTACCTGGAGAAGGCTGGGGGAGGGGGCAGTGGGCTGGCAGGGACTGTGAGTGCTTTTGTAATTTGAGTGGTTTAAAAATTAAGTTTTCAAGTAAAATAACAGACAAAGGGATTGTAAGTTACAGTCTGTTCTTACTGAGAGGAGGGTGAGATGTTTAATTTTGAAGTTACGGATTGTTTTTGACTTTTCTAAGTAATAGACCCTGGGATAAAGATGGGGGTATTCTGAGGTTTTGCCTACCCATTTGAGAACTCTTGAGTCGCCAGAGGTGACTGGGGGCCCGGAGGCACGCTGCGCTGCCCGGCTGGGGCGGGTCAAGTCTGGCGGACACAGCAGCCTCTAGTGTGGCTGGCACCACACAGGGTTTTTAAGTTAGTCCTGAGTAGCTGTCCCGATCCGTGACTGTCTACCCTCCCTCACCCACTTCCATTAAAATAAAAACTGTTTTCCAACATAAAAATGTGTTTAAAACTGGGGGAGATAGGAAAAGTCAAGTCTAAAGAGAAGACTCCTTTCCTCCCTTGTCTGCCTTCCACGCTTGGCGCTGTTGGGAGTCCTGCCTTTTCCTCATGTAGCGCCCTTCGGGTTGGGTCCTGCTCTGGTTCCTTAACCGTTTTATGCTGCTTTACGGGGGAGGGGGCAGGTTGGGAGGGCACCCATCAGGTTGGAGCCCAGTTCTCTTGGTGTAGTTGACCAGGTTCCCTGAGCACCAGACCTTTCTCTGTGGAGGACAGCGTGGCTTGGTGTGGACTCTGGCCAGGTCCTCTTGGCCATCTGGGCTGTTTTCATGGGCACTAAAATCTGTGCCGATGCGATGGAGTCAGTCGTTACTTGAGTTCATGGTGAGGATGTGGGTCGGGTCCCCAGCTCTGTATCCTCCAGGCCATTATCACTGGGCACCCTCGCTGTCCGGACACCAGATGACAAATGTCTGAGTGAGTGCCTAGTAGCCACTGGATGGAGGCTTTTATGCTTGTGACTGTAACAGGAAGAAGTCGGGATTTGAGTTCCGTGTGTCTTTTATGTTGCTGGCTGTTAATTTTATTATGTTTTATGGAAGCCCCGATGTGTCGTGGACTGGGGACACGAGGAAAGTGCCGGCTGAGCCCTGCCAGGTGGAGGCCTGCTCTGGAGGCCTCATGACAGCGGGGTGTATGTTGGTCCCTGTGCTTGCCCACTGGAGGGGTCCCGGAGCCCCCGCCAGCCATGGGTGGCAGCTGTTCCCAGGGTCCCCAGTGAAAGGGGTACCGTAAAGGCTGCTTGGGAAGGAAGCACTAAATCCAGGCTGAGAAGTAACAAGTGTGGGGTGTGGAAACGCGGGCCGGGCTCTGGTGGAGGCCAGAGACCCTGTGCTTCGTGTCTGCTGTCGTAGGTGCTCCAGTTCTCACCCCCCCCCCCCCCCCCCCCCCCCCCGTGGCTTCAGGCTTTCCTTGGTCTTAGTTTGGGGGGAGAGGCTGGGTGTCTCCTGTACAAGTCTGTCCCCGTCCAGCCTGCAGGCCGTTCCTCCAGTGAGCGAGCTACGGTACGTGTGGTGAGTAGACTTGTTTTGCTCAAAGAGCCAAAATGAATAAAAATAAAGTAGTGCCGGAGAAACCGGGTGCTTCAAGCTGTGCCCGCACTGTCAGTGTGCGCTTCCAAGCGTTGACTCCTCCGAGATGCTGTGCTCACTGTGTTCCTGCTTTCGTGTGTAGTGCTGTGGGCCACGCTCCGTGGTCATCGAGCATTCACACCCCTGGGCCCAAGCCCTGCTCGGCCCCAACAGCCCGCAGGCCCCCTCCTCCCGGGAGCTCTGCCCAGGCGTCTCCCCCGCCTAGCACGTGTGCTGTGATGGCCATCCCAGCAGAGCTGGTGTCTCCCCAGGCATTGCCGCGTGTAGCTCTGCGGCACGGGGAGGACTGGCCAGCGCACTTCTGCCGTCCTGTACGCCACGGGCGGGCCTTCGGCAGAGGGAGGTCTTCAGTACCAGCAGCGGGAGTTGCCACACACACCCTCACCACCACCCAGACTAGGTGCCGAGTCAGTACCCAACAGTAGTCAGGAGTGGGGCAGGCGGACGGGGAGTGCCCTGTCAGGCACACCAGGACTGGTGTCGTCAGGGTGTCGCCTTCACTTCAGTGTTTTGTTTGGGAAAATGCCACGTGTGTCAAACACTGCAGAAGTAAGAAGAACAAAGACTGCCCAGATCCTCTGTACCCACAGTCGCCTCTTGTTGACGTCATGTCCCACATGCCCTGCACACGTAGCACGCACATGCGCCCACGCCCTCTGAGGGGACTTCGTGCGCCCCTGGGCGCTGACTCTGGGTGGGCACAGCAACAGTTTCTGTGTCATCCATTTGCATCAAGCAGGAAGGACCAAGGCGCCCTGCCACCCCCAGTCAGGACCTGTCCTGGTCAGCCTCCTTTGGTCTGGACGTTTCCACAGCTGTTTCCTCAGTGTGACACGTCCTGTTTTCAAAGAAGAGCTGTCCGCTTTAGTACAGCCAGCCTCGTTGGGGGTTTGTCTGGGGTCCTCATGGCTGACGGAGGTGTGCCAGGTACCACGGCAGCACCACGCATCCCCCATCTGGAGGCAGCGATCGCCCTGCTTCTTGGTGACAAAGGTATCGCCGGCATCTCCACAGATGATTTCTGCTTTTGATCCGAGGTCTGGGAGACTCTTGGAAGCCATGTGGCCGCCCTGTTCCTCTTCACAGCCCAGATGTCACGCCCGTCTGCTCTTGCCTGGGTCACCTTCCCCAGCTCAGGCCTCCCTCTGTTTTCCCATCAGTGGGATCCTTCTATTCTGCCGTGTCGGCCAGGAGGTGCTGGTTTCAGAGAGGTCACCGGCAGGACCCACACAGCTGGGCTCCCGGGCGTGGGGCGAGGTCGGGGCCGCTCCACGGAGGTGAGTATCTGGTGGGACAACTGGCTGTCCCTGTCACCCTGACCTCAGGAATCTCAGCTCTTGTTTAGGTAGCCGAGGGAGACCCCTGCTGCAGGCAGCCAGCTCACTGACTGGGTGGTGGTGAGGCCCAGCCGGGAGGTGTGGACACGCACACCCCAGTGATCTCGGGGTTCTGTGACAATCGTCTGTGTGTCTGGACCCCCGAGGAGGGTGTGGATAGTTCCGACCTGAGCCAAGCTGAGCAGAGAGTTCTCCCGGGAGCCGGGGTGGCGCAGAACCACGATTGGAGGCAAAGTCAGAGCTTCTTAAGTCTGGAGGGTTGGATTTCACCGGTGCCACCTTGACCTCCATCTGACCTCTGAGCTGTTCGTGCCCATCATGATTTAGACAATTCAAAAAGCATTGGAAAGAGAGGGTGCACTCTAGTCCCGGTCTCCAGAGATGGCGGCCGGGGATGTCACGAGAGCGTTCTTCCAGTGCAGCGGGACAGCAAGCGTCCTCCTCACATGTGGAGGTGGGGATAATTTTTAATGGCATTTTTCCTGTTTTTCATGATTTTTGTATAAAAAAATTTAAAAACAAAACTAGAGTGAGACTAACACTCATATATCAAATGTAGAAAATTCTTAGAAAGCAGAATATTGAATGTATACTCGGGTCAATTCTGGGGCACTGCATTCCCAGTAGCCTCCCTCTCCCCAGCACCCACTCATTGTAAATAGTGGGGGGCTCCTGTAACCCATACTGTTGTGTTTTTCTGCACAGGTGCACATGAGGTCTGCGATGCTTTGTCCACTGACCTTGAATGCAGATTCTGGTTCATTCTCACTGAAGTGCCCCCCAGTGGTGGGTGGGTGGCATTGGGGGCATCCTTGCCGCTAGGGCAGGAGCTCTTGGGAGCCTTGATTTTGGGTGTTGACAGGTTTTCCCCAGCACCGCCTGGTGTGTCTCACTTTTCGCTGGCCTGGGGGTGGGGGCCTGTGCGTGTCCCCGGGGCGGGAGGTTCCCCCTGGAGCGCAGGTGTCAAGTTGGTTGGGTTGTGTCCATGGCCTCTTGTCTCCTGGGTTTATCTTCTCACTTTTATTGTCTTTAAAAACTCTTTTCAAATTTGGAAATGTGTGAAGTAGGGAGAGCAGAGCCCAGCTTCCACAGTCACTGCATCTGTCCGGTCTCCCTTGCCTGTTCCTGTTCCTGTAATTGCTTTGAGGCAGATCCCAATCATGTCATTTCATCCGGGAACATGTCAGTCTAGATAACAAGGATTCTTAAGCAGCCATAATGTTGCTGTGTCTTGTTGAACTCAAGTTTGTTAATTTCAGTGTTTTTCCAATACAGTGTGTGTGCTAGGTCCGGTCTGAGGACCCTGACCCTCCCCTGAGCCCTCCAGCTCTGCCCCGTGTGTCCTCAGGAGTCTAGTCCTGCTGCACCCAGAAGGGTGTGTGTTACCCCCCCATAGACTCACTGCGCTTGCGGCCCTGTCCCCGCATCTCTGGCCACCTCGCGATGGCCTTCCTGATCCCTGATCTGTGTCGGGTAAGCCCACCTTGTCTTTCCACCGCCCGGGCTGCACTCAGCCCTTCGCCCTCCTGTGCCTTTGGTTGAGTCCCCCTGACGTCCATGTTCCTTCAGGAAGCCGGACTCCACCCCACTGACTTGACTTGAACATGAACGTGGCCCCCTTGCTGCTCACTGGGACTTCTTTAGTGTCTTCAAGAAAATTCATGGTTTGCTCTGTAAAAATTGGGTGTGGTAGTGTTTTCAAAAATTAGTTTTTTTTGCTATTTGTATAGATCCAGGTTTTTGTTTTTAGATTGGTGTAATACCTTGTGGGTTCTCTTAGATTGTCTTTATGCGTACTGTCTGTGAAAATGACAGTTTGGGCGGGCTTTTCCATTCTTCAGTGTTTCTCGTCTTTATCCAAACAGCTCAGCCCAGGACTGTCAGCCTAGCCTAGGGCTGACCTGAAAGGGACCCTGGTGCTTTATAAGGGATCGTCTTTTATTTTCTTAAATATTTTTATGTATTTATTTTGTGGCTAGTGTTGTCAGATCTTGTTTAAATAACTCTTCATTTCCCTGAGAGCCTCAAGGTTTTCTAGAAGCTTTCAAACGCCCTCCTGCCCTACTCTGGCCTTAGCACTGACCCGTTTCTCCCAAGCGCCCTGATTGGTTGGCTGTGTCTTTGCTGCTGTCACCTCCCTGGAGCATGTCAGCCGGGCCGGGTGGGTGGGGGTCTTTGTTCTCAGTGCATCTGTCCCATCGGTGCCCCTCACATTCAGGTCTTCAGTCACTTGGGGATGAGTCTTCGTGTTCACCGTCTCCCTCCCTAGAGACCCACTTCCAGCCCTTGGCCAGTTTCCCTCCTGGGTGGCACCCTCTGTCTCCCAGATTGGCACACACGGTGGGGTTCCTCCTGACCCGTGGTCCCTTCACGTGTGTCCTGGAGTCATCCTGTCAGGTTTCCAGATAAGTTTGGAAATTCCATGGACTCTACAGACCAGTGGAGGCATTGTGTGTGTGTATGGTACTGTCTTTTCTCTTGCTGACATTGTTCATCAGCGAGTGTCACCGCCCATTCAGACCTTTGCTGTCTCTCAGTGCTGTTCTGTAAGCACACGGCTGGCCCGTCAGCTTTCCTCACTCACCTTGCGGGAGTGTCCCCCCAGCTCTCTCAGAGCATCTTGGTCCTGGTTTGAGGGCAGCTCCCGGTGGCCCTGCTGGCAGGACACTCGCCCCTCCATGTGTGAGGCAGGTCACGGCTGACCTGCTTTCCACATTGTTTGAGGGGATCACATTCTGCTCTGATCTGTTGATGCGGGGTTCTGTTTCTAGAACTTGTACTCAGGACCAACCTTGCCTTCCTGGGACGGTTGAACCCCCTTGGTCAAGGTGTGCAGAGTTTTTCGTACTTGAGTGGATTTGGTTGGTGCCTTTTATTTCAGCATGCATCTGTGTTCACAAGTGAGCGTGCGTGGGACCTTTGCCCAGCGCTCTGGCTCCTGCACTTGCCTGGCAGCTGGACGCACCGCCTCTCTTCCCAGTCGGTGGTGCCAGCTCGTGCCGACTGGTCTTTCAGTGGCAAACCTGCTCTGAAAAATCACCTTTCTCTTTTCCTTTTCTTTGGGATTGGGAGAAGTTTAGACTACTACATGTTGTTTCAGTTTCTAAAATTATTCTGTGAATGTACTCAGGTTTTCTGTTTTATTCACAAGTTGGTTTTGGTAAGGTACATTTTCTATAGATTTGTTTTACATCTCAGTTTTTATGATACTCTTTTTT